CCCTGCTCATGCCCCTTGCCCCCCATCCAAAGCCCCTGCCCCCCAGCCCTGCTGGAGGGGGCCCCCAGCTGCCAGGGCTATGGGATCAGGGACTCAGGTCTGCAGCTCCCTGCCTGCCCCCAACAGAAGGCAGTGGCTGCTGCAGCAGAAGCATGAGCTGGCTCCCCCACTGCTGCTGCCTGCTGTCTGCTGATGGCTCAAGTGGTGGGTGAGGCTGGCTCCCGGTGTCAGTGTGCACTCCTGGAGGACAGGGGGGACCTGCACCACCCAGATCTGTGTGAGGGGTAGGGCAGGTGCTTGTGATCCCTGACATGGTGCCTTCTCCCACCACCTCTGTAGAGCACTGCAAAGAACCCGGCATAGCATGGCAAAGCAGGGAGGTGCATAACCCTGTACTGCTGCCCACATGCACACAGGGGAAATGTGACCAGGGCAGCGTGGAGCTGGCAGTGGCATGCAGTTTCCCTGTGTGGTCCCTATTCGTGCTGCCACTCTGGGTATCACACACTGTGCTCTGGAGGGCCAAGGGGAGGGCAGCAGGGCTGGAAGCACAGCATGCTGGGCTGGGTTCCATGCACTGCTATGCACAGGTGGTGGGGAGAGCAGCGTGGCAAGGTGCATCACTGGCACCTGCTGCCTTCCTGGAGCACAGTGCTGAGTCTGGGAGGCAGCCAGGGACAGGGACAGGGACGGGGATGCAGATGGGGCGAGGTGACAGCAGCTGTTTGCAGCCTCCCAGCTGAAGCCTGCCCAGGTTCTGGGTAGCTGCTGATAGCCACAGAGCCTGGGCTGCTCCCAGCAGGCAGCTGGGAGGATGGAAGCCCTGCTGGGAGCAGCCTGGGCTTATAATCCATATAAGATTATAACCTGTCTGCCATCCCCAAACCCCAGGTAACCTCTTTTTATTTTCCCAGCTGCATTTTATCACCTGTCGACATTCCCTTCTTCTGTTTTTTTCCCCCCTCCACATCTATTAACCTGCCCTCATGGGAGAAAATCCAGGGACTGGAGTGCTGGGCACCTACCCTCTAAACCCACCCTCCATGGCCCCCCACTCTGGGCTGAACATCCAAAATATTGTAAATAGTTTAAAATATGTATATATAGTTTCCCACTTGTATATAGTTTGCCACTTGTAAGCAGGATTGTTTTTGTTGGTGAGTGGGGAGGGTGGTGAAGGAACACTGTTTGTTTGAAAGGGGGGGAAGGGTTGAAGGTGAGGGTTGTGAAGGTAATAAAGGTTTTTTTTGTTTAACCAGTTGAGAGTGGTGCTGGGGGTGGA